CGGCGGGAGGTAGGATTGCCTCCACCAGAGCCCCGTGTGAAAACATCCTATGTGTGAAAAGGATCTAGGACTCCAGGTAGAACACAAGTTGAACATGAGTCAATAGTGCAATGCAGCAGCTAAAAAGGCCAATGCAATTTTAGGCTGCATCAATAGAAGTATAGTATCTAGATCAAGAGAAGTAATAGTGCCACTTTATTCTGCTTTGGTCAGGCCTCACCTGGAATACTGTGTCCAGTTCTGGGCACCACAATTCAAAAAGGATGTGGAGACACTGGAGCATGTCCAAAGGAGGGCAACTAAAATGGTGAAGGGTCTGGAAACCAAGCCCTATGAGGAACAACTTAGGGAGCTGGGGATGTTTAACCTAGAGAAGAGAAGGTTAAGAGGTAATATGATAGCCATGTTTAAATATTTGAAGGGATGTCATATTGAGGAGGGAACAAGTTTGTTTTATGCTGCTCCAGAGACTAGGACCTGAACAATGGATGTAAGCTCCAGGAAAAGAGATTCCACCTCAACATTAGGGGGAACTTCCTGACAGTAAGGGCTGTTTGATAGTGGAACACACTCCCTCGGAGTGTGGTGGAGTCTCCTTCCTTGGAGGTCTTTAAGCAGAGGCTGGATGGCTATCTGTCGTGGATGTTTTGATTGGGAGTTCTTGCATGTCAGGGGGTTGGACTGGATGGCCCTTGTGGTCCCTTCCAACTCTATGATTCTTTGATTCTATGATTTTGCTGGATTTCCCACATATGATAATCCTTTCTTCCAAATGGACTATAAAGCTTATAATACGATGACTGCCTGTGAATGGTGGGAATCTAGACTGGGGGAAATTGTTCAGAAGCATTTTACAACTTGTTCACTCACATTTGTTGCACATCTGCATCTCTGTTTTCTTTCCACCCCCAACACCATATATTCTTCATTCACTCTTCAAATGCCTTATTATTTCCTTTAAGTAATGTGGAAAGATGTGTTCAGTGAAATTCACAAGTACAGCACTAACTGAGTAGCTACAAATATCAATGAGTTAAGAGCAGAGAATTTTCAATTGGATTTTAATTTTTTTATTGATTTTCACATATACTAACACATTCTTCTAACTACTTACAAACATATTTGATTCTATTCCTATTACTATCTACATAGATTCCTAACTACTACAGCATTCGTACTCCCTTTCCCCTGACTTCCTCCCCCCGTTAAATTTGTAAGTCATCATTCTATTGGCTTTCTTTAATCATATCATATTAACTTAGCATGTATAAAAACATTTAATTTATGTGTTAAGATTAGTCTCACCATAGCCTACCCTATCTTCTAAATGTCCCTTCACATCTCTCCTTCTATAAAGAAAAAGTGTCTATTTCTTATCTTCCATCACTACATTTTAGCATAACATTAAAAAGATCACACTTATTGCCTAATCAGCAAAATTCTATCTAACTCACTATATTACCCCCATTGTTCCTTTATATATGTAGTTACTTCTAACCATTTTACAACAAAGTTTTCCCAAAGAATTGTTTTCTAATTTTTGTGTTAATTTATCCATTTCTAGCATATCCAATAGATTACTTTTCCATTCATCCATCTCCGGTATTTCAGGTTTCTTCCACTTTTGCGCATATAAAATTCTTGCAATAGTTACCATACAAAATAATACCTTTCCAAAATTTCTTTCCATCTAGCATTCCTAATAAGAAAATTTACAGTTTGAAATCTAATTTAATTTTAAGTATATTGTTATTAGCCTACTAATATTTCTCCAGTATTTACTAGCATATTCACAACTACACCAGAAGTGAATGAATGTCTCTTTTTAAACACCACACTTCCAACATTTGTTATTCTTAGTTTTGTAAATTATAGCAATTTTCTCTGGAGTAATATGCCATCTATATAGCATCTTAAACCAGTTTTCCCTCAGTCTCTGAGCTGCCATATATTTAATTATTTTATTCCAAGTGATTCCCCAATCTTCGAATTGTATTGGATGACCCATATCCAATGCCCATTTTATCATCACCTCCTTAATGACCTCATCTTCCATTTCTGTTTCTAATAATTTATTATATACTTTCCCTATAATCTTGGTGTTTGTCCCAACTAAAATCTTTTCAAAATCTGTTTGGTATATTTAATTTGATTGGATATGGTTTGAGTACCTCTGAGTATGCCAACCATATCTGTTACCAATACTCTCTAGCTGTAATAACCTTTTGTTTTCCAATTTCATCCAATCTACTATCCAGTCCATTGAACAGGCATAGTAGTAGATTTTTAGATTAGGTAACACTAATCGACCCCTAATTGTCTCATCTTGCAGATTTTGAGTTTTACTCTGGGCTTTTTCCCAGACCATAGAAATTTCAAACTATCCTTATGCCATGTTTTGAAGGGTTTATCATTTCTAATTATCGGGAGGTTTTGAAAAAGAAAAATCATTTTAGGTAGAATGGACATTTTAACAGCTGATATTTTCCTCATCCATGAAAGGCCTATATCTCCCCACTTCTTTAAATCCTTTTTTATCTCTTTCCATTTTAATTCATAGTTGTTTTTAAATAGATCAGAGTTTTTTGTGTTTATCATTTATGATTCCTAGATATTTTGTTTTATTTACTATTTGGAAGTTAGTCATCTCTTTCATTCTTTGTTTCTCTTCCTCCAGCATGTTCATTACTAATATTGCTGTTTTATTTTATTTATAGATAATCCTGAGGCTAGGCAGTAGTTTTGAATTATTTCCATAAGAGTCCCTATATTCTCACTTGGATTTGCTAATAATATCAATATATTGTCAGCAAAAGCCTTATCTTAAATTCAGATTTCTTTATCTTTACCCCTTCAATTTTTGGAATTTCCCTGATCGTGTTTAAAATTTCCAAGGTGGTTATAAAAAGCAATGGTGACAGGGGGCATCCTTGCCTAACTCCTTTTTGTATTTTATAATATTTTGTTGGTTCTCCATTAATTATCAACGCCGCTTCCTGATTATTATAAATGCTCTTTACCCATTTCATATAATTTGCACCTATGTTCATTTTCTCAAGATTTTAAAGATGAATTTCCAGTTTAACTTATTGGATGCCTTTTCCACATCTATAAAATCAAGGCTACTTTTTATCTATATTTTTCCATGATATTCAATCAAATTAAGCACAGTTCTAATATTGTCTTTTATATGTCTTTTAGGTAGAAATCCTGCCTGATCTTCATTAATCCAATTAAGTAACACTTTTTTTTAGGTGTTCTGACAATATATTTGCAAAAATGTTATAGTCGCTATTTAACATATCTTTATTTTCTTTTGGGATCAGAATCACATTAGCAAATGCCCATGATTTAGGGACTCCCTCTTTTAAAATTCCATTGCACACTCTTTTTAAGGGGGTGACTAGTTGTTCTTTAAGTATTTTATAAAATTCTGCTCCCAAACCATCTGAGCCAGGTGTTTTCCCCAATTTACATTTTTGAATGCTAGATAGAATCTCCTCTATCATTATTAATTTATTTAATGATTCTTCTAGTTGTTCCGGTATTTTCTTAAATCGTTTGGTTTCTTAAGTATTCATCAATGTTTTCTTCTTTAGTGCCTTTCTCACTTTCCAAGTCTGAGAAAAAGCTAAGAAAAACTTCTTTTATTTTCTTTTGATCTATAATTTTCTCTCCTTTATAGTTCAATTGAGTGATTTTTTTTCCATAAGATTTCATATTATTTTTAAGTACCATTAGCACTGGATTGTGATCAGTCCAAATTTTCAGGAGTGATTCTATTTTATCAACCATTTTAAGCATATGTACTGAAATAAAGAACACATTCAGTCTTGCCCAGGAATTATGGACATTCGAAAAGAAAAGAAAATCCTTTTTTTTTTCCCTTATGTTTCTCTGTACATCTCTGATATTCAGTCTGTCTAACATTTCACAAAAAGATGTGGGCAATTTTCACTAATTTATTTTAATCTTTCTTTCTGAGGTCCTATCTGCTATGGAATTCATAACCCTATTCCAATCCCCCATAGCTATTATATTATCATAATTCAGTTCCTCTATTTGTTGTAGGAGTTTTTTGTAGAATTTATTTCTCCTTTCAATAGGAACATATACCCCAACTAGTAGAATTGGTTTTTAATTCTGCTATTATATATCTTCCTTTAATATCGTTAAGAATTTCTTTTGTTTCAAATCTTTTATTTACATATAATACCACTCCTTTTTTTCTTTTTATCTTTTGCTGCCAAGATAAATTCTTTCCCTAATCTATGATTTTTTTTAAATAGTTCCTATCTTTTATTTTGATATGCATTTCTTGAAGGCAAATTATGTCTAATTTTTTCTTCTGCAAGTGATAAAATATTTTCCTCCTTTTCTGGTGGGAGTTTAAGCCTTTTACATTCCATATTAGACATCTGAATTGATTTATCATTTTGGAGTTTGTTTATCTGTCTTTGTTCTTGATACTTTTACTTACTTTCTTCTTGCTCTTCATCCTCTTCATCTTTGTTTGATCTTTTAAAATTAAAAATTAAAAATTAAAAACTAAAGCAGTTAGAAAATCATGGACATAAAGGCCAAGGATAAAATGATAAATGAAATATTATAAAGTTTAATCATATGATAAATAATGAGAAAGATATAAAATACCATTAAGTAAATGCTAAATAGTTCTAAAGTCTCATAGCAAACACTCTAGCCTCATAATCTTAAGATCAAAAATTGTGGATACACAATAATAAAGCACTAAGGATAATAAAGTTTTGTTGTTGTGTGCCTTCAAGTTGTTTCCAACTTATGGCACCCAAGGTGAACTTACTATGGGATTTGTTCAGAAGATGTTTGTGATTGCCTTTCCCTGAGGCTGAGAAAGTGTGACTTGCCCAGGAACACCCAGTGGGTTTCACGATAGAGCTGGGAATTGAACCCTAGTCTCCAGAGTTGTACTCTAACACTCAAACCATTATCCCAGGCTACCTCTCATTTAAAGTATACTAAGGAAATACATGAAATATCTTATATTTATGTCCAGAAATTGGAAATCATGTGAATAGGATGCTCTATAAATATAACAATTGACAAAACAAAGCCTCTAAAAAGTGGCTCAGCACAATCCAGTTTTAACATCTTAGTTCCTTTTCCCTCAGTCCTGTATAAATTCATTCAGAGCATGTTCAGGATTTCAGTCCACAAATTTTCAAACACAAAATGTAAAACATTTACTAAACTTGAAGTATAGAGGATCTGCTGTTCCAGGTCAACCACGATAGCTGAAGAGTCAAGAAAAGTACTGTATATTTTTAAGCAAAAGAAAACTAAAAGCATAATAGAAAAAAAATCAATTCTATAAAAGCATGTATCTTATGCAGAAGCACCAAGGAGAAAGCTTTCTAAGATCATGCTCAAAATAAGAAATGCAGTTGAGGAGACAATCTCAGTAGAGAACAAAATATGCCCTACTGCCTCCGTTCTGCAAGAATACCAACACATTCTAGAGTTCATCTGCACTGTAGTAATAATACAGTTTGACACCACTTTAATTGCCATGGCTCCATCCTACATAATCCTGTGATTTCTAGTTTTGTGAGGCACCAGAACACTTGGCAGAGAAGGCAAAAGACCTTGTAAACTACAAATCCCATCATTCCATAGGATGGAGATCTAGTATTTAAAGTTGTGTCAAACTGCATTGTTTCTACAGTGTAGATGTGTACCCCTAAACTCAGAAGACCTGCATGCAAGCAAAGAGAAGTTCTTGCTTTGATTTCTTTTCCAATAATCAGAGCTCTATAGCATTTAACCTTTACCTTTATTTACCTTTATAGCATTTAAACTTTCTCTGAAATCCCATTAATATTTTTTTTCTTATCAGTCCTGTTAGGAATTTATCCCAATTAAAGACTGTCTATGATCAATCATTGAATCAAAAACTGTAATTGTTTTTTATTTTCTCTTTTCTTAATTGAGCAAGACTTTTCTATCAATACAATAGTGTCATAAATTTTAGTAACCACAAAGTACATCCCCAGCACTAAGTGAATGAAACAACTTTATAGAGTACCATAAATCTATCATTCAACCTATTTTAATAGAACCAATGATTATAACATATTTTCCTTTATTTTAATCCAAAGTATAGCAACCTATCAGAAGCACAAATTATAAGACCAATGCCGCTTGGTAAAAATTCAAAAATAGAGTAAACTAACATAAATTTAAACCAAACATCTGGTTTCAGAACACTGAATATCTGGCAGGCTGGCAAGAGCTGACTAAGCTTAAGGTCACCCATTGTTGTATAAGAAAAGTTTTTTAAAAAGAATAGGATACAAAAAATTAAACAACATTTAAAAAAAATCATTTTCATTATGGCTTGCTCATTCTGTATTAATTTGGGGAAGTATATTTTTCATTGGGGCAACCTTTCAACACAGTGTTATAAAAGTCCTGTATTATCTTTGAGTGTTTCTGCATCTGCACTGCAGAATTAATGCAGTCTGATGCTGCTGCAACTGCCATGGCTCAATGCTATGAAATTCCAGGATTGGTAATTTTATGAGATATTTAACCTTCTCTGTCAGAGAGCTCTGGTACCACAACAAACTGCAAATCCCGGGATTCCGTAGGATGGAGACATGACAGTTAAAGCAGTGTCAAATTGCACTAATTCTTCAGTGTGGCAGCAGCCACACTTGACAGGATTCCACACATCTATGACAATCTTCCCATCTTGTGCCTACTGCCTCATTCTCAAGGACACATCCCAGTTTTATTATGCTGTACACAGCTTCGTATTGTGCATCTAGGCCTAGGCCAGCCTTGGTCACAACACTCCAGAACATGCTTTAATTTCACAAAGTAAACATGATTCAGTGTGTAAAATGGACATTATACAAGCTATGGCCTCTAGGTTTCCTTGGCAGCCCAAAATGATGGACTGATGCTTTTCTTTTAAGAGCTAGAGAATGTTATTCCCTTACTTTTTTTCTTACAGGGATCCTTGGGCAAGTCACACCCTCTCAGCCTCAGAGGATAGCAATGGCAAACCCCTCAGAAGAAACTTTTCAAGAAAACCTTATGATAGGTTCACCTTAGGGTCAGCATAAATCAAAATTACCTGGAGGCACACAACACCACCACCAGTACACCACTAACAGTGTTTAGCAGGGTTGCATAGCTTCCCCAAGCATGAAGACACAGTCATGTGGAAAATGTTGTTGTTGTTGAATCTGAGCTGATGGTTTTTAAAGGCATTGGTGCCCTGGAATATGTTTTTTTAAAAAATGCTAAATTTTCAACACAAATAAAGGCTTCTGAAGTGCTAAAGGTACAATTCGTAATCCAGATCCATCAACTAAAAGAAGTAGTGTTGTTACAGTGAATAGTATTATGAAAATTTGATAGCAAATCCTGTGTAGGATTTCATTGTATAAGAGTTCACTGCTAAGCAAAAAGTGAAAACAAAAGATATGTGGGTAATTTGTTGCTTTTAATTCTATATTCCCTTCCCCCTCCCCCCGAATAGACAGATACCTCTTTTTCATTTTAACACCAGGGGCACATTGTTACTGGAAACCCAAATGCATCTAATTCTTTCTTTCTTTTTTAATTAGAGGTCTTTTTCAATGCATTTATTCTGTCATCTCATAAATTCCACAGTGAAATGGGGGTGCAGAAACATTTTTTTAAAAAAGAGGATGAATTTATGTTAAAAGGTCATGTCCTTAAGAAAAACAATGCAGCATTTTCTGTTCAGAGAACAAGAAAAAGCAGCCAAGACAGCATTGTGATACTCTCTCCCTCCCTCCCTCCTTCACACACACACACACACGGAAAGAGAGAGAGAGCAGGCCATCCTCGGGTTAATGTTTAAGAGTAAATAGGGATATTGATGTTAAAACCATAGGCATCTTGTGATAAAACTCATTGGGGTATTAAAATTTTGCCAACTCAAACTAATTTGTAGCGTTTATGTCCAAGATAGTGCCTAAATGAAGTTTTCATGATTCAGAGTGAGCAACCCTTTGAATTTAGTTCCATGATTTTTCTCCCCAGACTCAATAGTTATTTTGTATATGGGTTGTTTTTTTTGGGGGGGTGAAACCCACTGTAAGACCTTGGGCAAAGCTATACTCTCCCAGTCCCAGAAACCCCCTTTGCTGTGTTCCTTCAAGTTGTTTCTGACTTGTGGCAAACTTAAAGCAAACCTGGCATGGGGTTTTGTTGGCAAAATTTTTCAGAGAAGATTTGTCATTGCCTTCACTTTAGGCTGAGAGCATGTGACCTGCCCAAGGTCACCCAGTAGGTTTCTTGGCCGAGCCAGGAATCAAACCCTATTCTCCAGAGTCACAGTCCAACACTCAACTACTACACCATGCTGGCTGTATTTCCGTGTGTTTAAATAGATACCATTGTGTATGTTTTGTACCCTGGTGTATTCCATAAGTTAATATTCCTATGTATTATTACTCCAAAAATGGACAGAAGAAACTTGAGACTATACATAAGAATGAATGGGGAAGAAACTGAAATGGAGTCATGCATCTCTAGTTAAGGACTATTGTGTTTTGCCTTACTTGAGTTTGGTTGGAAATTTTCATCTCCCCTGTCGATTAAGCTGTGATTGTTTTAGTCTGCTCTTGATTTTATTTTATTTAAATTGGTTTTTCTGGCTTGGATCCCAAATGTGCCATCTGTGAAAAGATGGGCTCCTTCCATTCATAGCATACATCACACCCAACAACAGATCCTGTGGATGGAAGTTGGGAGGAAATTTTCATGGATTCTCACCTCCCTTGCAGTCCCCTTCCCACCTCAGTCTCCAGAGGGGATCCCAGCCCTCCAAAGCAGATTTTAGGGAATAAGAAGGGGCTACAGTGGGAGAAGGAAACTGGGAAAAGTCAGAGCTTGGACATTCATTTTTAAAAAGCTAATCATTTACAGTTAGGATTGTCCAACCCAGAAGAGTTTTTTGCAACTTTTTTGTTGACTTACAATGATCCCATGAATTTAAAGGGATTTTCTTAGGTAAGGAATACTCCTGTATGGTTTGCCTTTGCCTTTTTCTGAATATAGCCTACAGCAGCTTGGTGATATCCCATTCAAATACTGTACAAACCATGCCTGGCTCTGCATATGTACACCTCAAATTAATAGTTACTTTACTCAATTTTCAAAATACTTATTTTCAATTACCAAAAATGCTTATTTTTAATTCAGCAGCATGTGATACAGCCCAAGCCACCATTTGAACCATAGGATATTCCTCATACCCCATAACAATAAAAGTAACTATAGCCTCCAACTGTGCTCAATATTATTGTGGCTGTGGTGTTAAATTCATTTACATCCCACCTTTTCCTGGTACTCGAGTCAGGTGGTTTACAAAAAATAGGCACAGATCAAAATGCATGCAAAACATCAACAGAAGTATGTGCATGTTATTCTAAAATGCAGTCAAACAATCTATAGAATGAAAAACCATTTAACTTAATTTAATTTAAGATAAGTTAAAAGCAGACTACCAGAAATAGTGCACATTAAATTGAGGCACTGCCCTGGCTCAGTGCTAGGGAATCATGGGAACTGTAATTTATTGTGGCACCAGAGCTCTGTCACAGAGAAGGCTCAATGTCCCAGAAAAAAATACAGTTCCCATGATTCCCTAGTACTGAGCCAGGGTAGTGCCTCAATTTAACGTGCACTATTTCTGGCAGTCTGCTTAGGCCTGAAGTTGCCCTGCCAGCTCCACACTGCCAGGGTGTCAGAACCCAAAAGGGTTTTGGTTCTGCTATTATGTATGAAGTTGGGAAATGTATATATAAATCCTGTATTGGTTTGTGTTGTATGTATATAGACACATATAGAATGTGTTATCTGTATTAGGCGAGTTTAAATTTTGGCACCGAATTCAAATAACAGTTGGGATGAGTTTTACTGCAATTGCTAAGCAGAAATCAAAAGGTTACATTGCAGTTA